CTGCAGTACAACGAGTTTCATCCGTCCTCATCTGGTGAGATCGACCAACGAATCTCTTCTTCATGAACTTCCATACGAAATGAAGGTCCCCCTAACAATGTTATCTCAGGAGATTCATCGAAAACCATTTTCTCTTCGTATATTCAAAAAGAATTTAATACCAAATATAAATGACAAAATGATCTTCATAAGAGTAAACATTAAATAAAAATTAGCTTTCATATAAAAACTAAATAAAACTTGGATTTTTCTCAAGAATGGTTTCCAAATAAATGCTTTTATTTTCCAGTAATCAGCAGAAACCAGAGCATGACTCCATCTTTGTTTAAATCCTTATTCCTTCGATTAACTTTAAGAGATCCGAATGACCTGGATTATATTGCCTTACAAGGCATTCAATAACAAAACTCGAAGTGATGAGATATGGCCAGGTACATGATGAACATAAATGCATATATTTTCATAGCATTGCTCCTTAGCTATTGGGGTTCTCAGTGTAATAAACTTTTTCAGAGACTTTGTTTTTCTGGGCTAGCAGTAAGAATTAATCCGCTGCATGAGGCATATTTGATCTTCTATGTGAGGCGCTATTCGAAAACTGCTCGTTGGGTTTGTTTTGCCCCATCAATTTTTCTTTTTTTAATCTGATAAAATGGCCTACAGATATTTCTGCCTCAAAATGAGATTTAACCATATAACAGTTTGAAGAAGATAAGTTTTCACTGTGATTTGGTTCATCTGTGGGCTCCGTTCTCCAGAGAGAAGCCCTAGTCCTTTCATAAACGTCTACTTTCTTTGTAATAATGTCAGTGCATGGACCCAAAAGACGGTTAAAGCTATCAACATCGAGAACTGCTAGTCTTGCTTTTGTTAAGGCTTTAACAGTAGCAGATCGTGCTTGGTGCCTTATAAGAGCGACCTCACCAAAATATTGGCCACGCTTCAAATGGGAGAGCATGAAACCTTGAAAGGTGACTTCCACTTCACCTTGTTCGATGAAATACATCGCATTTGCTTCTTCATCACCTTCCTTAAAAATAATCTCACCAGGCTCAACATTTTGTGGGTATAAAGCATCTGCTATACTGTTTATCTCGAAAGAGCTAAGGTGTGAAAGTATGTCGACGCTTTGAAGAAGGGATTCATACATTTGACGTTTTTTGAACGCTTTGGTCAAAACAATGCTACGGAACACTGTTCGAGACATTGCCCATAGACGACCTTCTGTTACAGCCCGAATAGTAGCGGCTCTGGGAGTATCATACATTAGGGCTAACTCTCCAAAGGATCCTTGGTCTACGTATTGATGAACCTTCTTTAATCCTTCCGGTGAAGAAATGAAAATATCGTAAGTTCCAGCATCAACGACATAAAAATTATCACCTACATCTCCTATCGAAATAATTTCCTCATTAGGCACAACAAGACGTTCAAACATTGCATCCACAACTTCGTCGAGATCTTCCGGTTCAAGTGCCCTAAAAATAAGTATTGGCTTAATGCAATTCAATAAACAGGAGCGCTGTAAATCTGACTTTGGAAAGACTACTCTATCATAGACCTGTTCTGCCTCAGGGTTCCAGCTTTCAGCTGCAACACCCCCGCGACGAAAAGCTCCAGAGGGCTTAATCTCTAAAGAAGTTAATAGAGATTCACTTGATTCGCTTATATTCTCCCGTGAAGAATTTTTGACAAAGTACTCAATCACTTGATTATCTGCGGGCTGAGCTTCCTTTGGCTTATTGTCCATCAACCCAGTCATTAGTTTCCCGTCATCGGACTCCCCTACAATTTGCTTTTTGATCATAGACTGTTGTTCTAATTGTCGCGTCTCTGTATATTTTGTCTCAGTCAACTGGTTATTTGCAGGTTCCAATTTTGAGAGGCTCTCTTTCATGCCCGATTCCATGGCAGGCTGTTGCTCCAAGGGTTGTCGTTCTGCCACTGCATTTGGAGCAGCCGGCTGGTTCACCTTGGCTAAAAATATATAAAACAAAAGGAAAGGTATTCTATTACTATTATA